ACGATTCGTACGAAGATCAAAAGGAGACGTTTATCGCGAGATGTGCCCACGCGTGCAGTCGAAAAAATTCTCACGGTAAGACGAGATCGTCGAGTGCAATCCGATATTTACCGAACGGTTTCGAGTGTCTATTCCTGGTCAGCACCCTCTAGTCGAAGGTCGGGATCGAACCGCGAACGAACTTCGATCGTGTCCCATGAATTTGCAATATTCGATTTAAGACGGTTCCAGATAAAACGAAATATTATCGTGTGTCGTGTGATAAGATTTTTTGGGTCGTGACTTCATGCTAAAAGTACATTTCTTACACCTGGTATAAAGGAAATTTTGTAAAGTAAAATTGTATGAGTCAGGCATTGCATATATTTTTGTCGGTCTTTCATGCACTTCGGTACAACTGCGCAATTGTATGAGACATTCTGTATATATTGACGCACAATAATAGTTTTTCGAACGGAACCCCAACGACGTATACCGAGAACTATGGGTAGTTTCAACTTCTCACGAAACCCCTATACAAATCGATACCGGTCAATAAAGGGGATTCGTGAGAAGAATCAGCGGGGAACACTGACAGAGGGGAGGGGGTGCGTGAAAAAAAAATGTTTCTCAATTACGCACACGTCATTATCGATTCGACCGCGTCCGCGAGTCATAGGACTGCTCCCGACTAATGACTTCCGAGATGAGAAACGGGAGTGCACGATTGATCGTCGCCGTTCCCTATTATCATTAATTTACAACTCATTATACACGTTAACATTCTGGTCGATTACGTACACCCTGCGCCGTCGAAGTACCCACAAGATGCGTATGTGTAAAATCGTGACAGAAGCACAGAAGACACGCCGCCCGAGAGTCGCAATTTAGTACACTCGCGCGCGTAATGATACCCCCACCCCCCTATTTTGTAACTGATCCACGGTTGATTCGGGCAAGTAGCACAACACAACGAAACACATTTCGTGTAGTTCAGAATGACAAGAAGATTTCTTTCGGGAGAACGAACGCGCTTTTCGTGACGCCTGTGGGAATTACGGTTTAGAAAACGAAAGGCGGAAGAACAGACGGGCGTACTTAGGAACGACGTTCGAGAATTCAAGCAGCACGTAACCGGCTTACGAAAACGGAAGCCCAGAAAGCGACAATTGACACTGCTGCTACTTACCGGCGATCCGTAATACGGCTCTGTCAGCGGGATCGAGCTGCAGGATACTCAGTGGCTTGTCCTTTACCCATTCCTTCAGACTTCCGTCCAGCTCGAACTCCATTATCTGAAACGTCGTTGACTGCAACACTCCTTCTGTTTTTTCTTGTTCTTGTTTGTTTACACCATATTCGTGCAACTGCTCTCCTCGCTGGGCACTGTTTCACACCACCACTGAAGCAATTTCACAACCGCCGCGCGGCGACACAGAGTGCCCAGAGGCGTGTTACGTCGGTCTTCGTTCGATAGCGTTCGCGAGTAAATGCACCGAGAACTAGCTCGGTCGTAGTTATCGACAGCGGGCAGCTGGCGACTTTGCACGTGTTATTGAACACGGCATCCTTCTTGCCCTCCTTCTTCTCCCTATCGAATTTTCTGTTCTACGTTCTCTTCTTTGCGGAAATGTTCGGAAAAATTATTTCGGTGAATACCACGGGGAGTACACGTGGAAACGCAAAACCACCATGCCCGAGCGTTTATTTACTGGGTGAGACGCGCCGCCGGCTGTAGAGGTATACACACGACGGTGGCGTTATACCCGCTCTCTGAGCGTACAAGTGCACACGAACTGCACACGCCGGAACGGAACGGAAGGAAGAGAGGTGGGAAGGAGACGACGGAACAGGGAAAGCGTACGCGATGTGTGTGTGTGTGTGTCTGGGCCCGTCCTTTTTCACGACGGAACAGCAATAACTTTTAACGACGGGGAGGCGATAGAGGATACGCGGGCGGTTGGTAGCAAGCAACACACAACTAAACGCGCTTCCTGCACGCCGATAATCAGCGATGCTTCGTATCTTGGTCGTGAGCGGCGCTTAGGTCAGGTTAGACGACAGACTTGGCTGAAAACTTGGTTAGGTCAGGCTCGACCTCGACCAGCCACGGGCGGCCTCGGATTCCCGTCGTTGCTCTACGTTTCCAAGACCTTCGGCCCACGATCCCAGGATTCTTCGGTGTTTCACTTGTCGAAATACCGCAGTCGAATTCTACCACCACCCTCTCTGTCGTCTATACCGGTGTTCCCTTCCGGAAACATTCTGCACAAACACGAACAAAATCCATGTTATTCCACGCTTACTTTTGTATCGTATTTAAAAATAAATTGTTTTGCTGCAACTAATATCGTAATTTGGTCCTTGAACTATACGTGTACACACGTTGCGTGCCCACGGTTACACGTAAGAAAAACAGAACGGACGATACGTTGCGCTAATATTTTAGTAATCGCGTTATGAGTCACGGCAAGGGGGAGAAAGCGATGTTTTTCTGTTGATCGAAGCTTTCTACGGATATTCGTGAGATAAGAAAATTTCAAAATGATTGGTATCCGTGAAAATGTACGGGTGCTAAAATATTAAACGGGTTTCGCGGTTTTGCTCTCGTTGGATACAATGTCACACTGGGTTCCGAACGATAGATCGAGATCGGATACAAAGGGACGGAAACGGATGCGGTAACAACGTAACAAGTAGAATTGATTCTGAAACGACTGCAAAAGAATTGTAGCATGTATAGATTCTTCGTCGCGTAGATCATCGTTGCTCCACTTTCGAACGGAACTACTTGCTTACTGATACGAGTGGTTGAAATATGTGCGAGCCTTGAAAGCCTTTAGAACTGGACTACCTTACTACAATGTTTTTATTATCGTTCGGTGATACGACAATGCTACAGTCGAAAGGTTAAAAAAAATTCATACACGTTAAAGCACTTTGACGCGTCGAATTTCTTGTAGTTTCGTTCGTTTGTTTTTACGATGCGGATACGACAGGCAAAAACACGGACATCCGTTCTATATTCGCAGCTCAAAAGAGGCTTCAGTTCACGCGCACGCGACCACACCAAGTGCTTTTTCGCTCTCTCTTTATACTTTCGGTCAAATTTAGAACAATGTCCAAACGGAGGAACGAAGAAAAAATAATCTCACAAATCCACCCGCTGAACAACTAAACAGCAAGAAACGTACCGGGCTCGAGGGTTTTATTACTCGGCGGAACAAAGGATATAACCTGATTGTCCCCTGCGTCAGACCTAACCTAACAGATCCCAAAACGTGACCAGGGTACGGTTCATTTAATTTTCATAAAAGAATCGTAAATTCATAAATTCTTCAAAAGGCTTGCGCGAGACCCTTGGATAGGGTTAGCTCGAAAAACCTACGTTGGAAATATACATACATGTAGACTCGAGTGGCAAGAAGATTCGAAGGCAATGTGTACAGTATACTAAGAATCAGCGACATCTGCGAAAGACATTCACGCAACTGACTGAATCAAGATAACAGTCTGACCGAAAATAATGAAATGTAGCTGCGGTTCGTTCGCACTTGAATCGTTCCGAATCTTGACCCAAACAACGGGCCGACGCAATACAATATAGACTAGAGGATTTATTCGCCCTCTTCAAAAATACGTATTACGATTAAATATACCGAGTCATTAAATTGTACAGAATGGTAAGGAATACAGAGAATACGATGGATGTGCATTACCGTTCGATCATCTGTCGACTCCAATGCGAAACCAGGAAAAATCAATGTTCACCGGTATTCTCGTTGAATTTCTTCATCAGTAACGCGGCCACCCAATCCATAAAATATCCTCTCACGATTTCTGATACACCTTCCAACAAAAAACACTACATGCTCGTGCGCAGAGACATCGCATTATCACTTATCATAGCGATTTTCGCGTTAGAAATACGACCCGGTTCGGTCTGACGACGCGCCTAGCAGACGACATTTTGCTTTTGACGAACGTGTACGAAGTGCGTCGATAGTCCCCGAACTTCAGCAACTCGACTGAATCGGCAGCTGGCTCGATTCGCAACGCCACTCTGTGGCCATCTGTGGACACAGCACTGCCCTATACTCGCGTGCATTAACCCGAACTATTTTCCTTATTTTTCGAGTACCAATTATCTGTCCATATTTTTCCATAATTTCCTATTTACTTCCAACTGGTTTCCGATATTTATATTTACAGTATTATTGACTAACACTTTTCTCATAATTGTATGCTGCGAGTGAGATTTCGAATTATCAATGGCAGTGTATTTTTCTCAATGTGTACTACTCTACATTTCGGAAACATCTATGTCATATATGTGTAATACTTCTTGACCACACTTAACATGCATCATTCTTTAAAAAAAAAAAACAAATATCAAAGCATTTTTCCCTTTTAGCGTTTTCTTAAATCATTATTTTATAAGAAAAATACAGTAAAATAATAATGTGAATACTTTTTTTTATACTTGTAAGCATTATAATAACGAGACAGAACAAAACAGGGGAGGAAGTAAAACAGGGAATAGATTCCTGAAGGTACTGTTATAACAGGCAGTACTTAGGCACTGAATTGTATTGGCAGGTAATTATTGCGATCCTTATATATTATTATCATTTCCTAGAATTATTATTGGACTCTATAAAAAGCTTAAGACTAAAACACGTCTTTTGCATATGAATGTATGGAACGCGTCTGACATCATACCTATAACGGATGACATCAATTTTTCGACGAGAGGTGGTTACTGTAACCCACCACTGCCATCGGCCGTTCATACAGTGGCGAACGGTAGCCTTCGCAGCAACTTGTTTCGTTTGATGTCACCGCTATATAAAGCGACTGACACGGTCGGTAAATATGATGAGGACGGTGTTTCGAGTAGCACCTATTCCATAATTAGATGCGTATTAAGAGAATCGTTGAAAATCAGTCTCAAAGTCCAATCTATTACGAACGATCTTATCATGCCTCTAATAACGTTGCTGATTGGTTATAACATCAATCTACAAGTTATGAATTCTTTCCTCCGATGGTACAGCTTCAAGTTTTTCATCGTCGACCGCCCGAAGCAAATGTCGGGTCGACTTATTTCGGCCAATAGGCTTCTCTTGCAGACTTGCAATCGTCTCATCTTTCTGCTTAATTATCTCTTTCAGCTGCTGTATTTTACGACGATATTCATGTTTCATTTTGCGGGCACGAACTTCTTGTAACTTTATACGCTTCTCCACCGTTTCTACTTGCTGTTTTGCGCCTCTCCGAACACTCTGAAATTATAGATTATTTATCACTTTTATTAAAAATCTTGTTAGTAATGTAGAATAATTTATATACGCACTTCCAGTTGATTTTTCAAACCATTAACCCGGCTGGAAATGCTTTTCCCAAGACGATCGATGCTTGCATTTTCTTTCTCTGTTTCGCGCAACAGAGCTAGTAATTTTTCTCTCTCTGAAACAATTCTTTCATACTCTGAGAACAATTCCTCGCAATACGCAGTCGCCTTGCTTAATTGCTCCTTCGCTGAATCACGTGAAACACGAGTCGAATATACTTGACTATGCAGGTGCTCGTTTTTACGTTGCGTTCGCCTGAAACAAATCTGTTTAGACGTTACCACGTGGCTTAGGTACACAGAGAATATGTATTTAGAAATGACGGATATCTTACTTCAAATTAGCTTGGAGGCTTGCGACGAGGGTTTTTAAATGATTCCTTTCGGCTGTAATCATTACAAGCTCCTTCTCGGTCTCTGGTCGTGTCTCTTCAATGCGTCTTATATGATTAGATAAATTTCGCTTTTCGGTTTCGTATCGATGTTTTAATTCATCTAGCAATGTCTTGCATTCCTCGACAGCTGCCGTGTGAACAGTGATAGGCACTGTTTGGTCCTCTTTAGTCTTTATCTTTTCAAACTCTTTACTCAAAACTTCGTACTTTCCTCTAAAACTGCTCAATTCGGACATACTAGTAGAGTGTTCTTTTTTAAGTACCTCGTTACGTTTTAAAAGAGCCTCAAACTTCGATTCGTAAGATGAACGAATTTCAGTCAATTCTTTCTTTAAATCTGTGGTTTCTTTTTGCAAGAAGTCATTTTGTTTCTTTAACAAGGTAGTATTCTCAATTGTCGTCTTAATTTCTTTTGCATACCGATCGCACTCTGATTTTAATTCTTTTACTTCCTGGTGCATACGTTCATTCTCGCTAAGTATCTCTTTACATCTATTACCAAAATTAGCCATTTCTTGTTCATACATATTTACAAGTTCCTGTTTCTCTGCCAAGTTTTGCTGGTAAGCATTCAAGAGTGGACCCAGTGCATGAAAGTTAACACCACTCCAAACCCTTTGATTGTACCTTCCTTCATTCCCATGTCTTACAAACTCCGTAGAACTAGTTTTTAGTTTTTGACCCTTCATCTTGTCTTGATACCTTTCCAATTCAGCATTCAACTGATAAACAATACTTTTCAGTAACGTTATATCTTCATCCGATTGAGTTTTTTCAGCTTCAAGTTTTTGATTGCGTTTATTCAATTGCACATTTGTTTCCTCCATTTCCTGTACCATTTGTACCATTGCATCGTATTGAGAACACATTTTTTGATACTCTACCTCTCTTTGCTCCATCATTCTGTTCAACATTTGGCATTCTTCTTGAACACTTTTGAAGCGTTTTTCCAATTTGTGATAATCATTGGCAATTTTTAATATATCTTTGGAAAGACGTTTGTCCCTTGTCCTCGATGAAATAATACCTGAATCTGCATCGCCTTCATTGCATTTATGTGTTTCTACATTATTCTCTTCATTAGTCTTCCTACATCTTCCACTCCTCTTACTTCTGCCTCTATAATAAGTGTCACCTTCTGGATCATGAGCATTATTTGTAACATAATCTGATGAATCCTTATACTCATTGTGTGTTGCAATATTATGCCTAGCTTTCGAAATACGTCTGCGACGATATACTGGCATACAAGTTGCTTCTGAAGAAGTTCTTCTAAGTGACATTATTCTACGATCGTGCTGTAAGTTAATCAATAAGTAGCAAAGAGGTTATATTATTTAAGTAAGTCAAGACTTCTTAGACAACTCGGCAGTAAAACATTATATTGATTCCACTAGAAGAACTCACATTTTTTTGTCCTCGTCTAATACAGCTTGCCTCTTAATTGTTAACATTTGTTATAATTTACAAACAACACAAAGGTTTAGAACATTATTCCGTCAGGACAATTCGAAATGTCCAAAAATGGGACAATATCGATTCTTTAACAATACCAAAGTCATAACAAATCTACGTACTTGTGCGTAGAATATACACGCGTACATTTGTACACGCTTGCCTATTTCTATTATTTCCCAAGTTTGTATCGCACCCATTTCCATGACAACAAACTAATGTGTCAAAAATATTCGCTAGATGGAGCTTGTCGCCATTTTCCCGCCCCTTCTGACACTTTGTATTTACAGATCTTCTTTCATTGGTTTGTTCACTTATCTACCGAGGTAATTGAAGATTAAAACCGATTAAATGCTACGAAATTCGCTTTTGTTTGTACCATCATAAAACGTTAAATTCTCAGAAATACTCGAGCCTCTCAGAAGCCAAACCATTCAACTCTTTTTTTTTACACACGTTCTATTAATTCCTATCATTTTAATAAAAATGAAACATATAATCTTGAACCCTCAATGTAAATAGTTCAATATATAACAATTGTTTGTTCGTACATTTTAAGCTAAAATTGAAACAGAAATCTATACATATTATCAGTGTATCGCAGCTCTAACATAAACGTACCCTTACTCAAGTCAAAGGACAGGGAAAAATATCCGTGTATTGGATAGCTACTTTTCGATCGCATGGTTACCGTTTAAGATGGTGTCGTTGATTACGAGTATCAGTATTTGCATGGTTTAGCATGTTAGCAGTACAGACGACCTCGACCGTTTGACGTTTCCAGTTGAATTAGTATAAATTATGATAGAAAGTGTACAATTATTATCGCGAAAAATATGACCGCTCGAAAAGAACATAATTATGCTCCTAAGTTATTCGTGTAATGCTTGAAAGTTTCCTCTGATAATGGCGAAATCGTTTGTAAACATTTACAACGACATATGATTACCATTAACGGATACAGGAACCTTTTATACGGCATTTAACTAGAAGAACGAAAAGAAATCAAATCTCTTATCGAGTGATTGACATTAAGCGTAACTGTCAACACAACTCACTTGGTTACCAGTTAAAGCAAAGATACCGGTAATCTCGGATCAGAAATGCTACCCGGTCATTCATGGTACACCGATGGACACGATTGCATCGATCAACGTGTCTCTCACCCTTACGTACACGCCACGGTTATTAGGAAATACACATTGGCGACTTTGTATGGCGGCATCGCAAAAAGCACCGGTTAGATCGTTCGCCTTGTAAATTTTCCTTTTATTCTCAAGGTTACAATTACCTTCTGATAAGAGTACAATGATAGCGACTACGAATTATTAAACACACGTGGTGGCTTGTCTTCGCGATGTGGATAAAAAGCCGTGAATTCGAGGGAACGCGAACAGATCGTGACACGTACGGTTTTTCGAAGTTATTCGACGTTCCTTCGCATCAGCGAAAACAGCTTCGTTTCTTTTAAAAAGCCAATTTCGCCACCATGAAAGGTACAAGTAACGCGTTTGATAGTCGCCAGTATTTGGCAAACGGGTATTATTATCGAACGTTTTTGAATCTCGAGCTCCCGATTCGTAAATATCCCGAATTTTTTCCTTAATTATTAACTTTCGTTACATTATTATTTCCACTCTAATCAAGCTATTTTTTTCTTGAAATTGTTTTTTTCTTCACAGCGTCGTTGTTGGTACTATGCTGGCTGATGTTGTTCCTGTGGTCCAGCAACGCCGTGGATCTAGGATGCAGCTTTTCCCAGCAGCTGTCACCGACCGAGACCTACTACGTCTACAATCCCGAGTATCCGTACTCGTACCGTGGACCACGATCATGCATATGGTCTCTCCAGTCCGACTATAAAGTTAACATAAGCTGTAATCTCCAATTGCCATGGGTAAGAGTCTCGACCACTTGTAAATGGGGTAGCAAGCCCAGATGTCGAAGACGACCGTTTTCATCGATTGTTCACGCTCGCAGAGTTCAAACTGCACACAAGACAGGTTGGAGATTCAAGTCAGCCCGACAACCACGCACAGGTTCTGCGGCGATGGGACATTGAGTCTGATGTCCGAAGGGAACACGATGACTCTGACGCTGACCGCACCTATGACGTCTGCGGGTGGCCGATTACTATGCGAAGTGAGGGCGGTCAAAAGGCCTCAAGATAGCACGGATTGTGAATGCGGACGGAGGAATCCTGTACGTATTGAAAAATATCACGGTTGAGTGGCGTAGAACATTTTGGACAATTTCTGAAATGCACACTTTGATGAAATCCACAAAGATTGTTCAATGACAGTGACAGAGGTTCAAAGGGTTCTACGAAATTTTTACGTTATCCTTTCTTCGTTTTACCAAAATTCTTCGAGTATATCTGACCGATTATCCTTAGTCCAGAATAGTCGGTGGTACGGCCACGGGGATCAATGAGTTTCCGATGATGGCCGGTCTAGTGGACATAAAAAGCCGAGAGCCTTTCTGCGGTGGCACCATAATTAGTAACCAATACATACTAACGGCGGGCCACTGTATCGCGAACCGAAACGTGTCGGAATTGGTTGTTCTGGTCGGTGATCACGACTACACTACAGGTAAATATTATTTCAATTGAAATCGATCGATCGGTTTCTTTCGGCTCCAATCGAACCAATCCATTTCCGTAGGTGCTGACACGAACGCCAGTAAGGTGTTCCTGGTCAGACAAAAAATCGTGCACCCCAATTACGTTTTCGGCGGTCAGCAGAACGACATAGGCATATTAGAAATAGCGGGCTGGATCACGTACAATAACCAAGTCGGTCCAGTTTGTTTACCGTTTCAACACTCACCAGACACATTCGGGGGTAGTCTCGTCCAAGCACTGGGTTAGTAACTACACTGCGTTGTATAACTGTAAAACCACCCTGAAATTTTCAATTCTTATGGATTAAAATAAAAACGAACCATGTATATGCCATGTCTGAAATCCCGTTGAGACATAACGTTTCCCCAGAAAAGAATTGATTATATCCCTTAGAACAAAAAGTGGTTAGTTTTTATTTTAACCACAATATCATAAGGATTGAAAATTATCGGGGTGGTTTTATTGTTATGTCAGGTAGTGTATAATTTTGCTTCTATTACGATTATACCTTGTGACACGAAGATTATCATTTTGACAATTAGGTTGGGGTTCCTTGGAATACGGTGGCGGTCCCTCAACCGTTCTGCAAAAAGTCACGCTGAACGTGGAGACGAATCTTGCGTGCCGGAAAAATTATCCAGAAGTGTCCAACAACCAGATTTGTACATATACCAAGAACAAAGATTCGTGTTCGGTAAAGCCTGTTGCTCTTTATCCGCTTTTTAATATCATATCGTGTTTCTTTTGACTGTATCAATGACACCGGCGATTCTGTCGACAGATGGACAGCGGTGGACCCCTTCTATGGGAAAATCCCACGAGCCTACGACTGGTCCTAGCAGGAGTCATCAACTACGGTATTGCATGCGCCGTTTTCGGCAGCGTTAACTGCAGAGTCGGCGCTTACATAGATTGGATTACGTCGGTTACTCCAGGTATGTATATGTATACACCCCCACCATCTCACGTTATTACGTTCATTAAACGTTATAAGAGCTTTGTCAACAAACAACCGAAATTGTTGTTCCAGGCGCCAGATACTGCATCGTCGAATAAAGAACCCAAAAGCCAGTACCTGAGATCGGCTAGACCGTGTCAATAATTTCGCTGACTAGACTATGGTTCGTAATTCTATACGAGCGAATTTACCCGGTTCCGACGCGGTTAATATGTACAGCTGCATAAATTCAGCAACAGGGGTACCCACCTCTATAACCCAACCTGGACCGGGGGTTGTATCCGCGAGGGCAGCGGTACACAACTTACGTTACAGCTGCGTCACAGATCGGATATGCACAGTGGATGCCGATTATCTGGGCCACTTATTAAACGGGGCAGCCGTTTATTTGGGACAAAGCTCAGAACGAAACGTAATCAAATGTCCTGTAATATTTCGCGTAATTGGGACGGCCGTTTAATAAGACCAAAAGATATATACAGTAAATCATCGATGAGTGTTCGAAGGCTCCTCGGTATTGAACATCGAATACTTCATAAACTGTCATACCCGAAGAAAAATATCATTGGCTTCAGAATGCGCAGCTCTATCACTGTGTCAAACCTCATTAAAAAGTTACCGTTGCATCTGGTGTGGAGATGTAAAAAGTTTTCCTCGCCCGTTACATACCAAAGGGGACAACTGGAGCTTGCACTCCGGAAGTCGACTAGGTAGATTGTTCACGCCAAAGGCCCTTGAAGCGAACGCGTTGATTGAGCGTATCTCGATCCAGCAGTGGCCGTTTGGGGACGTGTTCGTAGAGCCCTCGAGGCGGGTGGTAACAGGCGCGTTAAAACACGAATGTGTATACTCAGCAACCCGAGAGAATAGTACAAATGTAATTTAACGTGTAATATATCGCCGAGTCAGTGCCATAAGCGGATTGAGACGATCAGGATAACGTGAAATCTGTCTGCGTCGAGTTTGGAGACGACCAAGAGCTTCCCTCCCGCCCTCTCCTACCTCCCCTTGTAATTTGTTATCTATGTATGCATACGTATGTGAATACACTGTGTATATATACACACGTAGTGTCCAATCTTGCTGGCTCTAGCCAACCCTCTAATTTCACCCCTCCAACCGTCCCTTGTCGGTTCGTCTTTGTTTCTCGCTTCCTCCCCTCCAACCCCTCCGGTCTTCCCTCCACGCTAATATTATTTGACGTTTACGTAAGAACGTTCGAACAACTAGCCGCCGGAGCGTCTGCCTCTTGTAACGCTCGAATCGATCGTAAAAATGATTCCATTCGTGCAAAAACCTATTTTTAGAGCACGGCGGAGTAACCCCGTCGTGGATCTATTAGACCAAGTTTCTACCAATGCCATTGGCTGTTTATTCCGTTTTCGTCGTGAACGAACCGACTGTACCACGCTATTGCGATGTTTCGGAGGATATAGGGTGCTTCAAAGTATATGGTACGAAATATTTTTTTGTTTTTCAATTGGGAGCACTTTTGACACACGAGGTTATAGGCTTAGCCGTATGGAAAACGATAGACGACAGGAAAAAGATTCTATTCCATATACGTCTTTAGATACACTGTTTCTTTAATCATCAATCCTCATTTTCCCAATTTGATTTCTCCATCGTCGGTCAAATCGACACAGTGGTAGAAAAATTAATATAACAAAGCGATGAACAGTTAACTGTGCAAATTTTTCCAAATAAAAGCCATCGAGCCTCAGCTAACATTTACCTACACATAGGAGACAATAACATAATGTATACGAGGGATCAGGATTGAAAGATTCGTCCGCCTTCGTGGACGGTCCTGTACCGAATAAATAAAAAAACTTTCAGTCACGAATGTTACGGATCGCATGCGGAATCCTGCTCGTATATATGCGTGACTAGACGATGGACTTCCTCGTCCACGAGTAGAATTCGTTTTGAACACAATCCAACCTGTCCGTGAAAGAAACACGGACTTACGCAACCCGCGTATTAAGTCCCTCGGTTGCGGAACGTGTCGCGAACGAGCGTGTGCTCGCGCAAATCGGCCGACCCTTTCGTAAACATCGTGTGTGTGCGCGCGCGCGTACGTCTTTAGGGAGCCGCGTATAATACAGGCAAACCCCGCTCGCGGAATTAATCACTCGTAAACAATGCCCCCGGCCTCTAATAAGTTCCGTGAATGAGGATGTGACGTTAGAAGCACCGCGAGAGGGTGTGTAGACCATACTCTCCGCGTGTAATCGCGCCAGCGCGGTCAAGTCGAACCAATACGCGACGTCAAGTCGTACCGACACGCCTCGAACGACGTTCCGTGGCATACATATATCGTTACCCAGTTTCTGATCACTTAATACTACGTTTACGGACATTTCTTATACACCTATCTTTACATTTTCTTTGAAAAACAACTTATTTTATTTAATATTCAATTTACGATCGCGTCAAATTGACGCATATAGATACGTACACCATATAGAGAATTTCGAGATTAGCAGGCATTCGAAATGCGTGCTAGGGGTGGAATTCCTGATCACTTAAAATCATATATCTTTCTCTCACTCTGAGCTATCGAATGTTAAATTTCAAAATAATTAATAATTATTTAATAATTTTTCAGAAAATAACTTTTATTATAATAAACGTATTATATAGTATCTATGTACTGAATTTATCAGGAATTGGGTTCTGTTCAGAAACTTGGTATATGACGGTACATATGTACAATTATTTTATTCACCGAACTGGGGAACACTCTTCGACGAGACAGAAACGTATGTGCATACGTAAAGTAATCGCGGTGACGTTCGCTCGGAGATTGAGTGTTACGTTGGACAATAATCCGGCTCTATTGAACGTGGAACAAGCAGAAGAACAAGAAAACGGTGGGGCAAAATTCACCGTTGCGGCCCCAAGGCTAATTCGTGCCGCAATTACGGTACGCTATCGCGCGAAATCAGTCGTGTTCTGCGCCACGGGCAATATTTATTAAACAATTTGATTTCTTCGAGCCGTGATTCGGCATGATCCGCCCTTGACACGGTTCTCGAGAGTCGATGATAGTTTCTCATGACCGGACGAGCCCTCGTCATCCGGGCACGAGTGACCCGTTAATGTACTAACAGGCCACGAAATTTTCGTGCCAGTTTCCGCGACGTGTGTCGCTTCCCTATCAGCTCTATATTCATTCAACGGGATAAATTCATACAGACTCACATGCACGCGTCTTTTCGTCGATGGGGCATATAGTCGTGTAATACCTAGACCGCGTGGTTTTAATGACTACCATAGTCGGACCCAGGACCGTTCCTGGCGATGGTGCAAAAGGTGCCCCCGCACCTGGGCGGCCAAACGCAGGGCGGCCTTAGATTGTATATTATATGTAAAATTCTACTTAGGAAGTATAATAATCAAAACTTTTCTGATGATTATGAAAATTTTAGACAAACAGAATTCAATCAAATTAATTTTATACGTAATCTTTGTAACACTAGTCGTATAAATGAATGAACTATCTTTATGGACAGCCCAAAATAGCATATGATATTTAGTCATATTTGTTAGATTAAATTCGTGTAGGTAATTAATGGTCGCTATTCATCAACCATAACATCATTATTACAAACATTACACGTAAGTTTTGTACTTATATGTAGAAATATTCATTTTAAATAAAACCATTTATTTTTTACGGATCTTCGTTTCATTCTATCAAAATAAACATTACATATAAATTCTCAATTAAATAGTATTAAATTAATAAAGGCGGCGATATCGTTTTTGCACCTGGGCGGCCAACAACTCAGGAACGGCCTTGGTCGGACCGTGTCAAAAATTAGAAAGAGATGGCTGTTGTATGGTCACCAAACTGTCTTTTTCAAACGGCGCGTTATACGATAAAGAAGTTTTCGTTTTCTGAGAAACGGAAAAGTAGAGGGAATGCAGCAATACTGTATATCGAACACTTGCTAGTGTTCTACGAAGATTAGCGCAATTCAATTTAGGAACAATTGCCATAAATGCTAGGCAATCTATCTAATGTGATGTTTATCGCAGGGCGAAAAGTGGCACGTTTTTCATGTGTTCCACGAAGGCTAGCACAGTTCAGTTTACAAACAGTTATGAAAACTATGAGTAAAAGTTACTTTTCGAGACCAAAATCAAAACGTGCTGCTTTTCATGGTCACAAAGTTAAAAGTGCTAGTCTTCGTAAGAGAAATGAAAAGTGCCATTTTTCGTAAAGTACGTTGTGTTCGTCCCGTGTCGTTGTCGCCTGTAATTCTGGACAATACTACTCGGTTGATTGGACCAACTTGGACACCAATAACTGGATGATATGAATTAGGATAAGAGAGATCGTGCAAAAAAAACGGGTCAGGGTGCTTTAGATATAAAATAGAGTCATCGTGTAAGTTTCACTGGCCGATGTGGCTCGCCCGAGAAACAGATATACAGGGTGAAATAAAAAAAGGGTTCAAAACCTCTGGCATATAAATACATTAAATCCTCGATGAGTGTTCGAAAGCTCCTCGGCATTGATAAGGAGAAGTCCCCAGGTGTAATGCTGACTTTTTAATGAGGTTTAGCACAGTCATAGAGCTCGAAATTCTGAAGCCGACGATATTTGTTTTAACCGCATATGGCCAGTAGTTTATAAAATATTTAAAGTTCAGTGCGACAGATCCTTTGAACACTCATCGAGGATATACTGTACTCGCGAAATGATGAAAAAAGATACTAACATGGGACGTAATTAATATTTTCAAAGTTATAAACAATTTTCGATTTCGATTGACGCATCTTTCTCGCCTCGGGAACTATCGTGTCGTATGAAAACAACGAAGAAAATTGTAAAAAGACTTTCTGTAATTGGAAAAAGGAGAAACGATAAGGTAATCCATTTGCTTCCATACCTGTACGATAGCTCCGGAAACGATAAAGTCACTGGCTTTATCGAAACAAACAATCCTTTATAACTTTGCAAATATTCATTTTTCGACCCATCTTTATTAGAACTTTTTTTTTTT